TCTTTGGAACGTGAATTTCTAAACACCTCCCTGAATGAGAAGATCTCAAATTACTTGCAAGAGAAATTCCCCTAGGTCTTTCGATGGTGCATGATTTTCTTAACGCTATGAGCCTTCTTTAGTTTAGCTCACCATGATCAGACATTACAATGCCACTCTTCTTCACTTAAGCTCTAGAATATTACTTTATGATATAGATCCAAAATAATGAGTGATCCAAGTGGCTTGAAGGATTTCTTCTTTGTAGAGCATTTTTAACCAACGATATCTTTGGCTTTACCTTACTCATCGCCTAAATCACAAAATAGTTCATATAGTTTTTTGAAAATCAACTATCATTTGGAGTATTTCTTTGAGATACTCAAATAAACTCAGAAAAAAAAACTACTCGACATTCTTTTCAGGGAGGTATACGCTTCCTTTACAAACCCGCAATCATGTTTCATTTCTTTTTCTTCAAATAAGCTTTTGAAGCACGAAAAATAAAGTAGCTCTTAATCGAGCATGTGAATAGTTCTCTCAAAATGGGCGAACTCTCGTGGGAACAGTTTGTTCCTACATCAAAAGCTTGCTGCTACAGATTTTCAAGTGAAATTTTTGGAAGTGTGCCGCTAAGTTCGATTATACCATTTTCAATTACTCTTTAAAACACTCTCTACAAGGCTAATCCACTCATAAGCCGGGTACGGCGAATCCAATTTAGTGCAACAATGCTCTTTGCGACAACCGGGATGTCACTCAATTATCCGCCACGCGAAATGGCATCTGGACTGTGTGTGGGGGTAATTGAGACGACTCCGCGTATTTTCGCCAGTCACGCTTCCAGTAAATATCAGTCAAACCACTCGAGCCGAATATTATAATAAGATTATTGCAGATGTTGTCAGCACATACGAAATCGCTCCATTCGTTCAAAACAAGCAGAAATCCTCACAAGACACATCAAGAGAAAAACAAACTGTGTTTAGGTACTCTTCTTAGATAGTGATTTTTTTGAATTGGAGTACATAGTCAGTCTAAAAATTCCAGGGGTACGCCACAACACTTCAACTTTAACCCGACCGTAAGCGATACGGAGAGTAGTGAGTCATTTGCCGACGAGGTGCTCAACCTTAGTCGCAAAGACTAACTCCGTCGCTGGTGAAGAAATCTTTATGTTCTGTATTAATTCTTCAAAAATCTTGTATAGCTAACATCAAAGTTTTGCACGCTCTTCATTTAGTACGCTGTGAGAATCGCATAATGACTTGATCTCTGTTTATTGTCACTTTTATCATTCTCATTACATATGTTTGCCATTATCAATAGGATTCCTTCTGCTTGACCATATCTAGCTGGAATTTAACTTTCCGGTGCATTGATGTTCGACTTACCGAATTAAATTCATTATCTGAAACTGTTATTCTGTGAAGGAGAAGAAAAAAGCGAGTTGATTGTAAAGAGTTTTGATTCGAGAAGATGTTCGTATGAACTGGTAATCTGAAGGAAAGGTTTTTCCCGTTTTTGAGTATGACGTCAGTATTTGGCCTACTTTTAAATCCTTCAAACGTCGTTGAGCCATTCATTAGCTGGGAAGTCCAACTTTGCACTCTGGACTTCATGTAGGCCCCTCCAACTCTCTTTCTATATTTTCGTTATTCTAATAAATATAAGAAAAGATGGACAGAAATGTGATGTGTGTATGATTACTGCGAGCATTTGAAGACAAATGCCCTGCAAATCAGCGACATCGCTAATAAATGCATAGCTGGTGGCGTGCAGGAAGACAGATAGATTGTCGACATATAAATCTAGAGCGATATTCACGCATTACTACGAGATGACCCATCTTTTCATCTCCTTTTTCTAAATATGCTGATAACATAGGCAATTTCCCCAGACATTCATAAAGTCATTGTGAGATAAGTAAATTTATTTTGTCTTAGGATTGTATCAAACACTCTCGCCGCAGTAGTAAGTAGATGACGACAAATAAGTAACAAAGTTTCTTTCAACATTGATTTCAGCGGGAGTTTCTCCCTCTACATCTCGTCCGTAACAAAAGTTAACACAATCTTTCAATTCGCGCCTCCCAACGATAAATTCCAATACGCTAAAGGTACTGTATGTTCCCCAGGGAGTGGCGAAAAGATTAAGAAAAGATTACAAGTGCTCCTTGCATGGGTTTCAGCTAATGAAAGCATAACCTAATGAGAGAATCCCGCCGGGAATTGAGGTAATCAGAATTCTGGCTGCAAGGAATTAGGTAAAATCAGAAGTTCTTAAAATAAAGAGCGGGATGTGAGAAGCTGTAGTCCTTAGCAGTATAGGATACAATCGATTACAAAGAGGAGACTAATATTATGAGAAACAACAGTTATACAAGAATTTCCAGATAATTGTTGAACAAAATATAATCATAATCAAAAAGATTTCGTAGAT